GTTTAAAATTAAACTACTTGATAATATTCGAACGCTTTGTGTTCATTCTTTTATCGCCGATTTCTTTTTTATATATATTATGACAAATCATAATTATTCCATCATCACCCATGACTGAAATGTAACATAACTCGCTTTACTGTTACCAACTTAGTCACGAATATAATAAACTACATTGTAGATCTGTAAAGTAAGTTCAAAAGTGCATTTACGCAATCATCAATTTAGGATAATTTGAAACAATTAGGAATTTTAAGACATTCAAAAACAAATCTTTTTATTTTAGGATAATCTGAAACCAGCTTTACTAACAGGGATACTTATCGTCATTATGTCATTAGTTTAAAGTATGGGTATCAATTTATATCTCATGAAAAAGTTAAATATACGATCATTAATTGATATTGAATCTTAACGATCCAATTACAATCTTAGCTTGCATATAATATTTCGGTCTGATTTTTTTGATTACCACTATTACAAATAGATTATGTATATGCGTTTAATATAACTTCATGTGTGATAAATCTGTATCGTGTTACGTAAATAAAAAAAATTATTATTTTTTTTTTAGCTGCATGCTTTTTTGACTTATTAAATTTCACTGGACCTCACTGGACTTCACTGGAGCCTCCATCCAGTGGTAAAATATATATATATAACTGGAAGGGTCTAGTGACAATTTACCACTGGAACCTAATATCTTCCAGTTTCATCCAGTTGGTTCCAGTAATCCTTCCAGTTCCAGTGAAATTCACTAGACCGGTCTAGCAACAACACTGGGTACACTAATTCTTTCGCTGTTGCGCATCATACGCCTTAATTTTCTTATTTGCAATATATTGTCTTTCATTCAAATTATTCATCTTTTCTTCCGTCTTTTTGAATGTCATATTTTTTTTGTTCCGTTAGGAAAAGAGGCCCGTATTAATTGGAAGTTTGTGGATAACTATAGATACAATATACCTTTAGAGATTTCGTTATTTTTTTGGCCTTTTCCTGCAGTTCTGTATCAGAGCACGAGGACAAGTGCTTTAAGCATTTACTTAATATATGGTGAGCATTCGATTTTTCACTGCCCTTAAAATTGCAAAGCTGGAAGAATGCAATCGCAGAAGAGCATCTATACTCCTTGATGTATGGTAGATAACTTTTGTAGGGTGTTTTCATTATCATACAGTATGGGACAGCAACTTTACCGATACAATCACGTTTCTTGTGAAACATGAAATGTGGAGGGTTGGTTGGAATCGACTTTATGTGTGTCGCTTAACCCGAATTTTGAAAAATCCTTATTTTGGCAATGGTTATGATTTTTTATTTATTCATAAAAAGAGAATTTTACAGATTACGTATTGAATAAACCTGATATGAATATATAACAGTTTCATTAATCACATGAATGAAATGTGCAAGAATTACGTTTAATGACATAAACAGTTATAACCTATTAAAGAGAGAATATGACGTTTGCATGAAAGCGACGATCAATCTAACTAAAAATAATTAATTCATGTGATCATTGATTACATTTTGAAAGTATGATCTAATTTGAAACTACGTCTTGAATAATGATATGATCTTAATTAATATGTGTGCATAAAACCAGAATTTAAAAAAAATGAAGATGCGACAATGAAACATCATATACTGATCATATGTAATATGCGAGGAGACTTTTTATTAAGATAAATTAAGATACCAATATTCATAGTAAATTTATAACAAATAACATTTTTAGAATAATGTAGTAGTATAAGTATTAAGCTTATAAATAAATTGAATGTTAGGGGGCTTTCAGAAATTACGTAATTTTGGGGTGGGTCCCCAAAATATCAAGTTATAATTCTGGTCAAATTTTTATAATTCTGACCAAAATTATAAAATTATATAATAATAAAATCTTTAAATTTGAATAATTTTTGATCTACTAGGCCTATTTAGATGAATTAACTACCAAAATAATCATCTTAATGATAGGATTTTAACAAGCCCAAAATCATTAAAATTTAATTACAAGATCACAAAATAGATAATATTTTGTATATAGAGGTGTGGCAACTTAGTGTAGTGGTTTAGTTGTT